AACCTTCGTCCAACAAACCAGAGAATGACACGACCTCCAATAAAGTGCCTCATAGGGTGTCATTTGTATACTTGATTGATAACTATTGTTGTAGGCAAACTCTAATAAGGGTAAATGTTCTTCCCAACAACCTTTAATATCTAGGACACATGTCCGTAGCATGTCCTCTAAAGTCTAGACGGTCCTTTTTGACTGACCACCCGTTTAGGGATGAAAAATTGTGCTCATCATCAGCTGTGTTCCTATGGTCCTATAAAAACTCTCCCAAAAATGGGCCGTGAACATGGGATCTCGATCCGATATTATAGATACGGGTATCCCATGCAACCGGACTATCTCTCGTATATACAGCTTGCAGAACTTCTCCAGTGTGAAGATCATTCGCACTACCAAAAAGTGTGCCAATTTCGTAAGTTAGTCCACTATCACCCACACCGTGTCATGTCCCTGCGATGTTCATGGAAAATAGGTCACAAAATTCATCGTGACATGCTCCCACTTCCACTCAGCCATCTCCAAAGGTTGGAACAACTCTACTGGTCTCTGGTGCTCAGTCTTAACCTACTGACACGTGAGACATTAATTAACAAAATCTCTGACATGTCTCTTCATTCTATTCCAATAGTATTGGCGATGAAAATCAAGGTACATCTTCGTACCACTGAATGCATAGAAAAATAGGAGCAATGGAACTCCCTAAGGGTCTCCTCTCTCAAATCTGTAGACTGAGGAAGCATAACCCTTTCCCTGAATTGAAAACTACCATCCGTGTAAATGGCCTAACCCTTGTCATTTGTACTCAACCGTACTCGGTCCCTGATGGACAATATCTCCGTGTCCTGCACCTAAGACTCGATCACCCTGCTCAATAGGGAAGGTGTAGCCACCAAACTCCCCAGAGTATCTTGAGTCTGACCTCTGTAGTGCAACTCGAACTATCTCACAGTCTCGAGCATCAGCTACTCCCGCGAAGCCTCACTAGCCAAGACGCCCCGTGACTTTCGGTTGAGAGCATCAACTACCACGTTTGCCTTACTAGGATGGTAATGTAAAGTGAAATCATAGTCCTCTAAATACTCCATCCACCTGTGTTGCCTCATGTTGAGGTCCCGCTATGTAAAGATGTACTTCAGGCTTTTGTGGTCCAAAAACACCTCAAACTGCTCGCCATATAAATAGTGGCGTCAAGCCTTCAAGGCAAAGACAATGGCTGCCAACTCCATATCGTGCATAGGGTAATTCTGTTTATGGTTCTTTAACTGTCAAGCACCATAAACTACCACTCTACCAGACTGCATCAAAACACACCCGAGTCCATCCTTGGAGGCATCACAATATATTGTATACCTCTGTCCCCCTCTCTTGGACTATCAAAATAGGAGTTGAAGTAAGCCTACCCTTCAACTTTTGGAATGCCCTCTCACACGAGTCATCTCACTAAAACTTGACCTCCTTCCGAGTCAATCTCCTCATAGGTGCAGTTAGTCGGGAGAAGTCCTCAATGAACGTCTTGTAATACCCCATCAATCCCAAGAAACTGTGTATCTTGAAGACTGACTTTGTCATTTCCTAACTCATAACTGCCTCAACCTTCTCCGGGTCAACTGACACACCCGTAGCCGACACTACGTGTCCAAAAATTTCACCTCTATGAGCCAAATTCACACTTGCTAAACTTAACGTACAACTGATGGTCCTTCAAGGTCTAGAGAATAACCCTCAAGTGACCCTCACGTTCCTCCTCAGAGTTAGAGTAGATCAAAATGTCGTCAACGAAGACCACGATAAACTAATTTATGTATGGTTGGAACACCATATGCATGAGATCCATGAATGCCGCCAGTGCATTTGTCAATCCAAAAAGCATTACAGTGAACTCAAAATGCCCATACTGTGTCCTAAACGCCGTCTTAGAGATATCCGCTTCCATAATTCTTAACTGATAGTAACCTGTGCTTAGATCTATCTTAGAGTAGACCCGTGCCTCTCTTAGTTGATCAAACAAATCATTAATACGCGACAAAGGGTATCTATTCTTGATAGTAACCCGATTCAACTGTTGATAGTCTATACATAGTCGAAGGGTCTTGCCATTCTTCTTGAGAAATAGCACCGAAGTGCCCCAAGGTGAGGTACTCGGTCTAATGAAGTCCTTGTCCATCAATTTTTACAAATGGACCTTGAGTTTTTGCAACTCTATAGGTGTCATTCTATGCGAATCATAAAAATGGGCGATGTACCAGGATGCAACTCAATAGTGAAATCTACATCCCTATGTGAAGGTAATCCCAATAAGTTTCCCAAAAAAATATCCTCATACTCACAAACCACCTGAGGTAGACCCAACTCTTGTCTCGCCTTGTCCTTTAGGGTAAAGCTCGTAAGCTAGTCCATCAACTATCTGTGCCAACATGAATCATACATCACTTGGGATAAAACATCATGTTTCTCTCCCTGAAACTTGAAATAAACACCCTCCGGTGTATAGGTAGTGACCCACTTCCAATCACAGTTAATAACAACTCGGTGTGCTGTCAACCAATCCATCCCAAAGATGACATCAAACTCTGACATGTTCATAATTCTAAGGTCCACAATGAGTAGAATTCCCAAGACCGTTAACTCACAACTCCGACATATCTGATCAACACTCTAGCTCCTAGGGGAGAACTTACATGCAATGATTCTTCCAATGTCTCAACCTCTAAGCCCAAATCCCTTACACATGATATATAAATAAATGAATACATTGCACCAGAGTCAAATAATGCCTTTGCCCATAAGCGCGAGAGTAAAAATGTACCTTCAATAACCGACTGGTCCGCTGGCTTAGTTTGAGGTGTGATGGTGTAGACTCTCCTCTAGGTTCCTGAAGTCCCGACTTGTAAGCCTTGTCCTCGGCCTTGACCCATCTGGTCTGATTACGGAGTCCCCGCACGTGAAGTAGTAGGGGCTTGTGTAGCACTCTGGAACTAAAACTAGCTTCCCTAGCCTATGGTGAGGTAGGGAGGAATGAAATAAGTTTGTGTATGCCCCACCGATGACTAAGACTGAGATGCCCCATAATTCTAGGATCTCTGCCTTTGAGGACAATCCTGCTTAATATGATCCGGCTGGTGGCATGTGTAACAAGTCCTCTAGCCTGCCTGATAGGTAGTTCTGAAACTTCTCCCGCCTTAGGAGGATTGACCTTGACCTTAACCTTGACCTTGACCTTGATAGCCGCAGCCCTATCCTTGAAACCCTTGTAGGGCAAAAGTCTTTTGCTTTTTTCCCGAACTAAAAGAAGAGGATTGACCCTCCTTCTTGTCCTTAGCACCCGCCTCTCGGATGCTCCGTGCATCATCGACTACCCTCTCAATGACCATAGTCGTCTCGACCATCGAGTTTATATCTTGTAGGCGGTGGCCAACAATCTTCCTCTAGATGGACAATTTCAAACCATCCTTAAACCTCCTCACTTTGGCCATGTCTGTGGCCACATAATCATTGGCAAAACGGGATAACTCAGTGAACTTAGCCACATATTCCATCACTGTCATAGTGCCCTACTTTAAATTCAAGAATTCCCGAATTTTTGCATGTCGAATAGCCGATGAGAAGTATTTTCCCATGAAGAGCTCCCAGAACTTTTCTCATGTCATTGCCTCTAGGTTTTTCGAGGCATTTGCCCAATCCCACCACAGATGGGACTCTCCTTCTAACTAGAATGTAGCTAGCCTTATCTTAGTGGCGACGGAGGTGATCTTTATAGCCTATAAGATCTTGTCGACTTGCTAGAACCAATGATTGGCCACCATTGAATCCACCTCTCCTATAAAAGTCGATGGCTTGTGTGCCTTGAATTTTTAGAGGTTACTTGAGCCTCCTTGGCCAACATTAGTGTTTGCTTGTGCAAACGTAGCTGCCATAGTGCCAATAGTCTCCATAAAGACTTGTTGGTCAAAGGTTGGTGGTAGTTGGTTGTTGTTCCGCCCAGCTTCTCGATTGTGTCGTCTTTCTCTATTTACTATCTAAACACATGTCAAATAGCATTGGAGCACTAACTTAGCATCCCTAAATAGGGATCAAGTTTAAACTTTGAGATTTCTCTCCTTATCTCACTAGTAGAGCATGTGTCATCCACCAGTAGGCACCTACACCCTGAACCATATCATTCATTCTTTTTCGACCCCCAAGATTACATTCTCTAACCCTAATGTCTCTTCTCCATATACATTTAATCATGCATATTATTCACATGACATATAACACATAACATGTAACATTTAAAACATATAACATGTAATGCACAATGGATGCAATAGTCTAAACTCACGCCCTACAAGCCCTGGGTAAATCGAGAACCTATGCTTTAATACCAAATTGTGACGGTCATCAGAGCCTAAGCTACACAATGAACTCTAAACCTTTTTCACTCTCGCAATGGAAGATGATAGACTTATTTCTCACAAGGCCCGTATAAAATCTATGGCCTAGGATTGGATACTAAGTTGTGACGCCCCTAAAACTAGGGATCCTTTATACACTTGTTGGTCACCCATCAACCCACGAAAATACCTGTGAATGCAACATAACCCGGCATCACCGCACAACCCTTTTACTAAGATCACAACAATACAAAATTTGGGTAAAATCTTCCTTGTACCGGACACTCCCAAACGCATAATTTGTATACCTTTCAATCACATGACCCATCCAAGATCAAATATACATCAATTTACTCTCATTTATTGTCCATTTATATCATTTGAACAAAATGACCCAAGACCCAAAGGTCTAACAAAAGCACTCTTAGAATTCGAAATTTCAAAAAAACCTACCAATAGAAGATGACAATGTTCTACCGATAGAAAAATCTTCTAGAAAAATTATACCGCAAAACTTGAAATTCTACCAATAAGTTTAGCCTACTAGAAAAATTCTGCTCGTAGAAGAACTTGTCGTTCTGCCGATAGGTCTGAACAGTTTTTCTACGATTCCTTTCTTTTTTAATTCCAATCCATTCCAAACTTATAATACATCATACCAAACTCATATAATATCAAGTTTAAACAAAATACAGTTCACTTTACATTCCTTTACAATATCACATGTCCAAAACTAAAATAACATAAAAGTTTTTTAACAAAACATGTTTTAAAAACCACATCACGACTTTTCTTTAACCATGAGGCGTAATTGCACAGTTGGTAAGCATAATTCATTGACACTATACATGCTGCTAAGTTCCAACAATTTCATAGTAGTAGGAGTCTCTACAGTCTAATTGGATAAGCAGATTAACTTAGGATATAAAGTTTTTGATCTTCAAACTCTCAACAGACTCCTTGATAATTTGCTCCATGGGAATGAATTGTAGACCCAAGTCCATCAACTTCTTGGATGCAATCTTCGACCTTAGTAATCCGGGTTGGGTATCCTTGGGCAACCTACAAAGAATAGCATTATATAGATTGAGCAATCTTCTATCTTGCAATTTTAGTTTTCTTTCTGCGAAAATCCAGAAACTGGATGAAACCCACTAGGCATTTTTAAACCACACCAAAACGAACAAACAATGAGAAGAGAGACATAGAGAAGTAGATAGAAGATCACGAAGACATCATCCAAATATAACAACATGCATTTTTAGGTGAACCAATTAGGGCAGTAACGTCATTCAAACGAAGAGTCTTACCTTAAACCTCTTGGACCGAACTCTAATACCATGTTAAAGCACAAAACTCAAAACTAATAGACAATGAGTAGAGAGACCCACCAAGCTCATATATACTAGTTTGGGAGTTATTACATCGATATGAAGCAAGCTGAAATAATCCGACTAGTGAGACTGACCCCAGATTGTGCCTTGGGGTGGACAGCTTTTTGAACACTTGGACAGTAATAGAAATTAAGATAGCCATCAAGAAGGATTCAAAAACTGTGAAGGTATGTTTACCCAGGAAGAATATTTTACATCCACTATGGCATTGATGACAAAGGGGCTAGCCACCCTCACTCTTTAGTTCTAAAGTTGCAGGGAGAAAGGACAGATAATGTGATTTATTCCCACATTCACCTCCTTTGCTGCTGAAGCTTCCCATGAAAGAGGAAATAGAAGTTCTAGATCCACCAAATCTAGTTCCCAGTTATGCATGAGAAAACTTATTCCCTGAGAACAGGTTATCAGTCATACAGAAAACACTTTGTTTCAGATCTGTAGCAAGATTCTTCTTCCCCCTGACATCCCCAAATAGGAAGAAACGTAAAAAAGGACTTGGGGGTTTTGGGAGGAGAGATGGTCAAAGATGCTCTGCTCCTGGCTAAGTATAACAAAGCTTAAAGATTCCCCCCCCCCCCCCCCCCCCCCCTTCCCAAAAAAAAAAAACAACACACACACACATCTCCAAGAAAATAGTCAATTAAACCTTATGACAAAGTCACACATGTTAGGATCAGTGTCCTGGTCATAGTGTACATCATGGTTCCTACTGTAAAAACATACTTTTCAAACACATGCATGGAAAACACATTACCTGGGGAGATTATATTCAGGGTAAAGTTCTGCAACCTTGGCAGCAAAGTCACCATAATGAGAGATAGCTTCAACACACAGGTGCCTTCCAGTTGCTGATGTGTTCTCATACACCAATATGTGTGCTAGGGCAACATCTTTAACATGAACAGATCCCATAAAGATATCTTCATAAATGTCGGTGCAGCCTGCAGCCAAGGCAAATGTCAATACAGGTTTCATGGTTAGGAAACAAACCTTGGACTATTTAATTGATAAACTTAACTTTATGTTTGTGGCAACCGAAAACAGATGATAAATACGAATTTGAATTACTGAGCATCTCCAGGCTGCATTTATGGGAGATTAGGCAATGAAGAGGTTGAGAGTAGAGTGGCAAGGGTGCAAGGCACAACAGGAAAACCTATTCGAGGCAAGAAGCTTACACTTGGTAAAAGTAATTTTATAGGCACTTCCTTTAGCACGGGGGTATTGGATATGCGTCCAACACTTCTAATATGGTACGCATCTAGCAAACATGTACCACAATTCAATTTTGCTATATAAATGTGTGTAGCACTCTATATATCCCTTTTGTTGCATGATTTCTTTTAGGGAGAATTACACCCAGACATCTTGAAGTTTATCACTTAATCACTTAGACCCCTGACATTTGAAATATTACACATACACCCTCTGAAATTTGTACGTGCATAACATTTAAGTCCCTGATATAAATATATTCGTTAATAAATTATATTTAGATCTCCTAAAGTTTGTAAACATATATTACTTAGACCCCTTAAATTTAAAATGTTATACTTAGACCAAAAATAATTCAATCAAAGATAAAATATCAAATATTTTAAATTTTAAATTTTACAATTAAAATTAATGTTTTATTGTATCTTTTAATGAAATAAAATCAAAAATAAAAATTCAATTTTTTCTTAAAAAATCGTAATTATTATACAATTATATTGTCTATTAGAATTTAATTTGGTCGTTTAAACGACCAAATTAAAATATCAAACTACTCCGATTAAAGATAAAAGATATTGTGTTCATTACAGTTTGACCCTTTGTTTAATTTTTAATTTTATTGTAATAGATAGTATAATTATATACTAACTATGATTTTAAAAAAAAAATTAGATTTTTATTTTTAATTTTATTTCAATAAGTGACATAATAGAATATGAATTTTAGATGTAAAATTTATGTTCTATTATGAATGATTTGGACCCCTTATTTAATTTTTTAATTTTTTTTCAATAGATATTAAAATTGTATACTAATTATGATTTTTTAAGAAAAAAATTTTTATTTTTAATTTTATTTTAATAAATTAAACAATAGAACATAAATATTGTTGTAAAATTTAAAATAATTGATATTCTATCTTTGATTAGAATATTTTTTATCTAAATATAATATTTTAAATTTAAAGAATCTAAGTATTATATACTTATAAACTCAGAGGAATCTAAGTAACAAAATAATATATTTAAAGAATCTAAGTATTATATACTTATAAACTTCAGAGGAGTCTAAGTGTAATTTATTAACAAATATATTTACAACATGAGTCTATGTGTTATGTGTGTATAAATTTCTGTGTAATATTTCAAATGTCTGGGGTCTGAGTGATTAAATGACAAACCTTAAAGAGTTTGAATTCAATTCTCCATTTCTTTTATGAGCCAAGTAGCCATTATGACACTAGCACCATTTTGTTTTACGAAATAAATAAAAAACCATGAAAAACAAAAATGTATATTTTATCGTGCCAGACTTTAAATCATAGATGAATATGAGCACCTACTGACGTCCACATAATACAAAATACAAAATTACTTTATGCTTGGATATCAAATACATAAACAAATCTCATTTTGCATGCGTACACTGAGCTAGTGTTCCCTCTGCACATCGGTTACCGGAGTAGGTTTTCAAGAGGTACAAAAGGAGATTGGTGAGAAAAGGGAGACATGCTTGAGAAAAAAGTGACTAGGCATTCATTAGCTTCAGCAATTTGAAAATATATATGGGAATGCAGACTTTTGGGGGGTGTTAAGCAAATTCAAAATGCCTTTCACACCACCCTTGCATAATAAATCCTCAGAAGTTGAGGTCTTGTGGCACTAATTACATGGATGTACGGCATATGAAAATGTATGACAGTGCACCGGAACACAGGCTGTCAACTTAATCATGCATAAACCATGGATTTGAGCACAAGCAGAGTTTAATACAGCGTTAACTCAAGGGATGGGATATACTCTCATATTACAAATAAAATGTAGTAAACCTAGTAGTATATAGAAACTACAGCTCCAAATCTTCTATAGACCACAACAGCATAGAAAGAAAAGGTACGATTAGTGCATCCCAGTTACAAGAATTCCACTTTGTTTCAGTTATGTGAAGCAAAAACAATTATTTGCAGGGTATGTGTTCAAACAAAAAACACTGTTACTTGAAGATGAGGCCAAGCATTGCTAGCAAATATTCAACTGGAAGTAAAAAATACCCATGGATGAAACATTCACACCATGAGCTGAATGAAGAGAAATACATATATTAAAGTTAGGGTATAAGTTACCCTGAAGAAGGCGAAGAAGCATTAGCATGCTTGCATTGATGGTTGGGGGAAGCATAGGCCCCATCACAGCTCCAGGATTCACCACAACCACATCCAAACCTTTTTCCTTCGCAAATTCCCAGGCAGCTTTCTCGGCTAATGTTTTAGAAAGCGAGTACCATAACTAGTCCATGACAAATACAAGTTATCAAAAGCTAAAAACACAATTATTCTCAAGGCTTAAGGTAAAAACAAAGATAAGTGGAAAAGGAAAAGCACACAAACTTTACACAGAGACTGGAGTTTAAGAGCATATCTCAATACCACATAAAGCTTTTATTATGAAGATTCAAGCATCATCAGAAATTTAGATTTGGAATTACATGGTTCTGCCCAATCAATAGAAAAAAGAAAGTGAAATGAAATCAGTTTACCTGCATTAGATGAGTTTGCTTGCCACAGAACACAGCTAACCCACCATCAATTTTTTTTCCCTTTCTTGGCAAGTAAAACATTAATGAAGAGGCATGAACGAGGGGAGCAGGGCACGGCACATATACACACTATGTGTACAAACGTAGTACCAGAACATATCTACAAAAAGCTACAAGCTAGACTCTAATGAAACTTCTAAGAAGAAATCTAAAAACGAACAAAACAACAGACCCCATATACACCTCATTGGACTAGAAGTAAAGGACACTCAACATAAAAAAATTAAACTTGTGCATAGGGAGCTCAATTATTTCCTAAAGAGACTTCAACAAGTATATGGTAGAAAAATCATTTCTGACAAACTTCTCCGATTACACGAATTGTTATTAAAAAAGTTAAATGAAACACAAACTACTATAGATAACACGTGATTTCATCACAAAAAAAATACTACAATTTAAAACAAGTACAAGATTTCATCAGATTTTAATCAATAACTAATTCTTTCAGGAATGAAAAGAAATCAATTATTAAATTTGACGACTTGAGTATTTGTAATAACCTAAGTTCAGAATGACCTACAATGGTGAAATAATAATAACAATAATTAATCTCCTTTCGCAATAATGATAGTAATTAAGGAAAATGTTTTTTGAACCTTATTTAGAGACTTAAGGATGCGATTTCAATGCAACCATTAGATTAGTTGTGAGTTTCAATGGTAGATGGAACCCACAACTAATCCAATGCAACCATTGGATTAGTTGTGAGTTCCAATGTTAGACAGAACTCACATCCAATCCAATGGTTGTGCATCATTAAGTCCCTAAATAAGGTGTCTAAATAAGATCTATGTAGCATTGCTCAATAATTAATGTCCATCTATATAATAAAACACATAGGAGTTTGAAAGTTTAAACCCTATACATTTTCTCCCCTAAAAATATCACATCATACAATTCTATCATATGTTCAATCATTTAACATTTGATTAATTTATAATTTAACACAATTTTTATTTTATACATTGTCCATACATGATAGTATACATGTGTTGAAAACATTTTGTCGAGTTATATATTTTGAGAAAATTTGAAAGCTATTTTTAAAAATTTTGAGAAAATTTGAAAGCTATTTTACAAAAAATAATAAAAAAATTAATTTTAAATGATGTAATGAAATAAATGAAGAAATAAAAAATTGTTATTTGGTACAGTGGGGTTTCATCGTGTCTCATGCACAGGTTATAATTAGTTAATCAATAAGATGGACTATAATAAACATGACGCATTACAACAAGAAGAACGACGAATAAAATCATAGAGTCAAAGTGCAAAAAGGAGAGGTTCCCACCTTATTATGCTTGCAATATTCAACATCGGTCCAGCAATCCTCATTCTTGACAACATCAGCTGGCCAATAACGACTTGGAGTGATGGCCGATATAGATGAGGTCACGACCACACGCCGAACCCCTAGCTCCTTTGCCGCCGTGAGAACGTTGTTTGTCCCCTTAATCGCCGGAGCTAATAGCTCATTCTGTCAATCAACAACCAAATATACATGCTTAAACAATGATTAAGTAAAGAAAAGGAGAGGATTAGTTTGTGAGTATGTTGATTATATGTTTGACCTCAGGATCTCGAACTTCATCGACAATGCAAGGAGAAGCGAGGTGGAAGACGCCGGCGGTTCCATTGACGGCGGCAACAATGGAGTCGTAGTCGAGAAGATCGATTTGAAAGAGGCGGAGAAGCGAGTTCGCTCCTTCCAAGGCTTCTAGATGCTTTGTCTCTTTCTCATCATCTAAATCAGAACAAAATTTACAGAAATTGAGATTATAGACGAGCAAAAACCCTAATAAAGAAACTCCAAGAAGTTGGTGAAAACGAAGATATGTGAGTGTGCGCGTACTTAGATCTTTGACGGTGGCATGGACTGTGTAGCCGCGTTCGAGGAGAAAACGGACCAGCCACGAACCAATATAACCACTCCCTCCCGTTACACATACCGCCTCTCCTTCCTTTGCCATTTCCTCTCTCTCTCTCTCTCTCTCTCACTCCCCAGTGCCCGGTTTCACCTCTAAAACCACGGTTAATCAAAAGTGGTGACGACTCATTTAGTCATTTTTCTTTTAATTGCCCCAATTTATCTTCTAAATTATATAATTTATTTCAATTAATTTTTTAAATAAATTTGGTTAAGATTAATTATTTGGGTTTTAAAATTGTGACTTTCCAAAAGAGTAAGGCGAAAGATTACCTTTCAATTTTTTTCTAAACCCTTAGGGTTTAAAAATTTTAAATAATTCCTCAAATAATAGTGCAATAGACTGAATTGTAAAAAAAAAAAAAACTGAAATGCAAAGTAATAAATAAATAGTTTGGAATATGAAATGAATACCATACTTAACATTAAATAAAAATCAGTTTGATCAAATTTGAGAACTAAATTAAGAGTTCAAATGATATGACAATATATTACTTGAAGTCTTTATTATGGCTCAAATGACATTTTACCAAATAAAAAAAGAGTTCTTTGGAAATCGATACACCTTATTAGACTTATTTGGTAAAAAGTACATAAAACAAAATGTGAGTTAAAAAGACATAAATGCTCATTTTAGAGTCATTTAATTCAAAATCTCTTATTTTTAATTCACATTGATTCATGTGTGTTTGTTAATACATATAAATACGTATTTAATGTACCTTAATTCATGTGTATTTGTTAATATATGTAATATATATATATATATATATATATATATATATATATATATATATATATATACGTGTATACTTGTTTATATACATGTATATACGAATATATATACTTATTTATATATATATATATATACACACACACACACACATATATATATTTGTTGTTAAATCTCTTATTTAAATTTTGAATTATTTTTAATGCACCTTGATTTATGCTTTTTTTTTTTTTAAATGATTTTGTTTACAAATTATATTTAATGCACCTTGATTCAAGTGTTTTTTTTTTTGAAAAAATAGTTTTATTTTTAAATTAATTTAATATCTGAATAATATAATAATATAACAATAACAATGTAACAAAGACAGTGTAACAAAAACAGTGTTCAGTAGTTTTGTGTATATGACAACGAATTTAAAACGGAGATGAACTATTTTAAATGAAATTATATGAAACTATATGTTTGACAAAATGTAATAGTAGAATATTTTGTGTAAATAGCTTGTTACACTATTATTGTTATACTGTTACCTTGTTAGTGTTACACTTTTATTGTTACACTATTATTGTTACACTGTTATTGTTACACTATTACACTATTCGGATATTAAATTAATTTAAACATAAAACAATTTTTTTAAAAAAATGCATGAATCAAGGTGCATTAAAAGATAATTCAAAATTTAAATAAGATATTTAACAACAAGTATATATATATATATATATATATATATATATTTAAGTTTTTCCATAAAACTAGGAGATGTTTAATGCATCACTTTCCAAAGAAAAAAATGGTGCATTAAATACACATAGATTAATGGAGTGTAAAAATGTCACAAAAAAAATAGATAAATTTAAATTATGTACTTGGATATAAATAAGTATCAAAATTAAGTACTTAATAACCTTATATTTTTTAGTGTGTACTTTTTGACAAATAAATTTAATTTGGTGTACCCCTTTATAATTTACCCATAAAAAAATTCAAGTCAGCTGCTATATTATTTGGGCTCTTGATTTATCTTAAAATTTGATCAGTGTAACATTATTAAATAAAAATAATAAAAATTATGATGAATTAGAGAGTTTAGTTTAACTCTCCCTTTCTTTTACGAGCCAAGTAGCCATTATGACACTAGCACCATTTTTGTTTCAGGAAATAAATAAATAAAACATGAAAAACAACAATTATATTTTGTTGTGCCTGACTTTAAACCATAGATGAATATGAGCACGTACTGACGTCCACATAATACAAAATTACTTTATGCTTGGATATCAAATACATAAACAAATCTCATTTTGCATGCGTACATTGAGCTAGTGTCCCCTCTGCACATCGGTTACTGGAGTAGGTTTTCAAGAGGTACAAAAGGAGATTGGTGAGAAAAGGGGAACATGCTTGGGAAAAAGGTGACTAGGTATTTATTATCTTCAGCAATTTGAAAATCTATATGGGAATGCAGATTTGTTGGGGTGTGAAGTAAATTCAAAATGCCTTTCACACCAACCTTGCATAATAAATCCTCAGAAGTTCAGGTCTTGTGGCATTAATTACATGGATGTACGGCATAAGAAAATGTATGACAGTGCACCGGAACAGAGGCAGTCAACTTAATCATGCACAAACCATGAGATATCTATATAATAAAATAGGGGTGTGTTTGAATTTTATTTTAGTCATATTTTTTTTTTTAAAACTATCACCAATCACTTATTTCATATATCATCCATTTATCAGACTCAAATGTCAAATCACATATCTCATTTCTATTATATATTTAATCATTTATATATTTCCTTCTTAAAAATATCACACCACTCATTTCTATTATATATTTAATTAATTTGTAGTTAATATATTTTTTAAAAATTTAATATAATGGGATCGATTTTTTAGACGCTCGAATTTTATATTGTATCGTGCCTTCAGACACGAGTTATGACTAGTAGTCTCCTATTACAAATAAAATGTAGTAAACCTAGTAGTATAAAGAAATGACAGCTCCAAATCTTCTATAGACCTCAATATATCTAATTTTATAACTCGTCTGTACTATCACTTAAACCATCCATAAGATTGTAATACAAACACTTTAAAATATACAAAGTATGAACAATTTAAGAAAAATTCATTCACGTTCATTCATTTATCAAAGGGACAAAAATTCAAGCTTAATCTTACAACCAATAATTGAGCCGGCCGAAGAATGGTTTGTTCAAATCATCAAAGCTTGTAGTTATAAGCATATAAATAGCATATTAGGTATACATAAATATATAATATTTGTATAAACAACCCGCACTAAATCTTAAATTAAACACAAGTTTAAGCTTGAAAACAAGAGATGAATTGAATCGAAACAAAAAATTAAATGGTTGAAACTCATAACAAAAACCGTCATTCAATTCATTTGTATTTTAACCACAATCTCTCTTGGCCGAGATTATGAGGCGTAATTGTACAGTTGGTAAGCATAATTCATTGACACTATATATGCTGCAAAGTCAAAACAATTTCCTAGTAGTAGGGGTCTCTACAGTCTGATTGGATAAGCAGATTCATTTAGGATATAAAGTTTTTGATCTTCAAACTCTCAACAGACTCCTTGATGATTTGCTCCATGGGAATGAATTGTAGACCCAAGTCCATCAACTTCTTGGATGCATTCTTCGACCTTAGTAATCCGGGTTGGGTATCCTTAGGCAACCTACAAAGAAGAGCATTATATAGATTGAGAAACCTTCTATCTTGCAATTTTAGTTTTCTTTCTGTGTAAATCCAGAAACTGGATGAAACCCAATAGGCATTTTTAAACTACACCAAAACGAACAAACAATGAGAAGAGAGACCGCAAGACTCACAAACTAGGTTAGATAGTTTTGATATATAAATATGGAACACAGTCCTCACTCACATAGAGAAGTAGATAGAAGATCAAGAAGACATCATCCGAATATAACAAGATGCATTTTTAGGTGAACCAATTAGGGAAGTAACGTCATTCAAACAAAGAGTCTTACCTTAAACCTCTTGGAACGGGACTCTAATACCATGTTAAAGCACAAAACTCAAAACTAATAGACAATGAGTAGAGAGACCCACAAAGCTCATAATATACTAGTTTGGGAGTTATTACATCGATATGAAGCAAGCTGAAATAATCCGACTAGTGAGACTGACCCCAGATTGTGCCTTGGGGTGGACAGCTTTTTGAACACTTGGACAGTAATAGAAATTAAGATAGCCATCAAGAAGGATTCAAAAACTGTGAAGGTATGTTTACCCAGGAAGAATATTTTACATCCACTATGGCATTGATGACAAAGGGGCTAGCCACCCTCACTCTTTAGTTCTAAAGTTGCAGGGAGAAAGGACAGATAATGTGATTTATTCCCACATTCACCTCCTTTGCTGCTGAAGCTTCCCACGAAAGAGGAAATAGAAGTTCTAGATCCACCAAATCTAGTTCCCAGTTATGCACGAGAATACTTATTCCATGAGAAGAGGTTATCAGTCATACAGGAAACACTTTGTTTCAGATCTGTAGCAAGATTTTTCTTCCCCCTGACATCCCCGAAAAGGAAGAAACATAAATAAAGACTTGGGGGTTTTGGTGGGGGAGATGGTCAAATATGCTCTGTCTAAGTATAACAAAGCTTAAAGCTTCCCCCCCACAACACACACACACACACACTTCTCCGAGAAAATAGTCAATTAAACCTTATGACAAAGTCACACACATTGGGATCACTTTCCTGGTCATAGTGTACATCATGGTTCCTGCTGTAAAAACATACTTTTCAAACACATGCATGGAAAACACGTTACCTGGGCAGATTATATTCAGGGTAAAGTTCTGCAACCTTGGCAGCAAAGTCACCATAATGAGAGATAGCTTCAACACACAGGTGCCTTCCAGTTGCTGATGTGTTCTCATACAACAATATGTGCGCTAGGGCAACATCTTTAACATGAACAGATCCCATAAAGAAGTCTTCATAAATGTCGGTGCAGCCTGCAGCCAAGGCAAATGTCAATACAGGTTTCATGGTTAGGAAACAAACCTTGGACCATTTAATTGATAAACTTAACCTTATTTTTGTGGCAACCGAAAACAGAGGATAAATATGAATTTGAATTACTGAGCATCTCCAGGCTGCCTTTATGGGAGTTTAGGCAATGAAGAGGTTGAGAGTAGAGTGGCAAGGGTGCAAAGCACAACAGGAAAACCTATTTGAGGCAAGAAGCTTACACTTGGTAAAAGTAATTTTATAGGCACTTCCTTCAGCATGGGGGTATTGAATATGCGTCCAACACTTCTAATATGATACGCATCTAGCAAACATGTAACACAACTCAATTTTGCTATGTAATTGTGTATAGCACTCTCTATATGTCCCTTTTGTCGCATGATTTCTTTTATGAGCCAATTAGCAATTATGACACTAGCACCATTTTGTTTCAGGAAATGAATAAAAAAACATGAAAAACAAAACTGTATATTTTGTCGTGCCCAACTTTAAACCACAGATAAATAAGAGCACGTACTGACGTCCACATAATACAAAATTACTTTATGCTTGGATATCAATACATAAACAAATCTCATTTTGCATGCGTACACTGAGCTAGTGTTCCCTCTGCACACCGGTTACCGGAGTAGGTTTTCAAGAGGTACAAAAGGAGATTAGTGAGAAAAGGGGGACATGCTTGGGAAAAAGGTGACTAGGCATTCATTGTCTTTAGCAATTTGAAAATCTATATGGCAATGCAGACTTTTTGGGGGTGCTAAGTAATTCAAATAGCCTTTCACACCACTCTTGCATAAAAAATCCTCAGAAGTTGAGGTCTTGTAGCACTAATTACATGGAAGTACCGCATATGAAAATGTATGACAGTGCACCGGAACACAGGCTGTCAACTTAATCAAGCATAAACCATGGATTTGAGCACAAGCAGAGTTTAATACAGCGTTAACTGAAGGGATGGGATATACTCTCCTATTACAAATAAAATGTAGTAAACCTGGTAGTATATAGAAACTACAGCTCCAAATCTTCTATAGACCTCAACAGCATAGAAAGAAAAGGTATGATTCTTTGTCTCAGTTATGTGAAGCAAAAACAATTATTTGCAGGGTATGTCTTCAAACAAAAAACACTGTTACTTGAAGATGAAGCCAAGCATTGCTAACAAATATGCAACTGGAAGTAAAAAATACCCATGGATGAAACATTCACACCATGAGCTGAATGAAGAGAAATACATATATTAAAGTTAGGGTATAAGTTACCCTGAAGAAGGCGAAGAAGCATTAGCATGCTTGCATTGATGGTTGGGGGAAGCATAGGCCCCATCACAGTTCCAGGATTCACCACAACCACATCCAAACCTTTTTCCTTTGCAAATTCCCAGGCAGCTTTTTCGGCTAATGTTTTAGAAACCGGGTACCATACCTAGTCCATGACAAATACAAGTTGTCAAAAGCTAAAAACACAATTATTCTTAATGCTTAAGGTATAAAGAAAGATAAGTGGAAAAGGAAAAGCACACAAACATTACACAGAGACTCGAGTTTAAGAGCATATCTCTATACCACATAAAGCTTTTATTATGAAGATTCAAGCATCACTAGAAAGTTAGATTTGGGATTACATGGTTCTGCCCAATCAATAGAAAAAAGAAAGTGAATGTGAAACCAGTTTACCTGCATTAGATGTGTTTGCTTGCCACAGAACACAGCTAACCCCACCATCAATTTTTTTTTCCTTTCTTGGCAAGTGAAACATTAATGAAGAGGCACCAACACGGGAAGCAGGGCACGGCACATATACACACTATGTGTACAAACGTAGTACCACAACAGAACTACAATAAGCTACAAGCTAGACTCTAATGAAACTTCTCAGAAGAAATCTAAAAACAAAAAAAACAACAGACCCCAAATACACCTCATTGAACTAGAATTAAAGGACACCCAACATAAAAAAATTGAACTTGTGCAAAGGGAGCTCAATTATTTCCTAAAGAGCCTTCAACAAGTATATGGTAGAAAAAAACCATTTCTGACAAACTCGCCGATCACACGAATTGTTATTAGAAAAGTTAAATGAAACACAAACTATTATAGATAACACGTGATCTCAACACAAAAAAATACTACAATTTAAAAGAAGTACAAGATTTCATCAGATTTTAATCAATAACTAATTCTTCCAGGAATGAAAAGAAAATCAATTATTAAATTTGACAACTTGAGTATTTGTAATAACCTAAGTTCAGAATGGCTTACAATGGTGAAATAATAATGACAATAATTAATCTCCTTTCGCAATAATGATAGTAATTAATGTCCATTAATCAATAAGATTGACTATAATAAACATATGACGCATTACAACAAGAAGAACGACGAATAAAATCATAGAGTCAAAGTGCAAAAAAGGAGAGGTTCCCACATTATTATGCTTGCAATATTCAACATCGGTCCAGCAATCCTCATTCTTGACAACATCAGCTGGCCAATAACGACTTGGAGTGATGGCCGATATAGATGAGGTCACGACCACACGCCGAACCCCTAGCTCCTTTGCCGCCGTGAGAACGTTGTTTGTCCCCTTAATCGCCGGAGCTAATAGCTCATTCTGTCAATCAACAACCAAATGTACATGCTTAAACAATGATTAAGTAAAGAAAAGGAGAGGATTAGTTTGTGAGTATGTTGATTATATGTTTGACCTCAGGATCTCGAACTTCATCGACAATGCAAGGAGAAGCGAGGTGGAAGACGCCGGCGGTTCCATTGACGGCGGCAACAATGGAGTCGTAGTCGAGAAGATCGATCTGAAAGAGGCGGAGAAGCGAGTTCGCTCCTTCCAAGGCTTCTAGATGTTTTGTCTCTTTCTCATCATCTAAATCAGAACAAAATTTACTGAAATTGAGATTACAGACGAGCAAAAACCCTAATAAAGAAACTCCAAGAAGTTGATGAAAACGAAGATTTGTGAGTGTGCGCGTACTTAGATCTTTGACGGTGGCATGGACTGTGTAGCCTCGTTCGAGGAGAAAACGGACCAACCACGAACCAATATAGCCACTCCCTCCCGTTACACATACCGCCTCTCCTTCCTTTGCCATTTCCTGTCTGTCTGTCTCTCACTCACTCACTCCCTAGTGCCCGGTCTGACCTCTAAAACCATGATTATTGCCATAATATTTATAAAATATTAGTTAAGCAAACTTTATAAGATTAATTATATATATAAAATATTAGTTATATAAACTTTATATCACTGTGACTTGATAATACATTCTTCATTTTTCATTCTATTTGACAAAATCAACTAAAATTATAATAAAACATGAAAAAAATTTGCTAACTTTTAGGCGATAAACATTAGAGCTTTCGACCCATCCATGCTTGTAGGTTTCTTAGAACCTATTACTTTCACAACCCTCATTTTGACCAAAACCTCAACCCATATTTCTACTTCTCTTCTCTTTACCTCTGTTATTTCTGTCTACTCCCCTTCTTTCCTGAATACTAACACTACACTTACGCAGCACTGTTACGCAGCACTGTTTCTTCAATCGAAAATGTAACACTTATCCCCCACAGGACATCAACCTCAAAGGCCCTCACAAACCCACCAAACTGCACCAACCTCTGGTCCTATTATTCATCTACATTCTCACAAGCCAACCGCAGAATTTGTAAAACTGTTCTGTCTCATTGGGAAATGTTTCTCAAACAAACCATTCAATCAAAATGTGGTTAAGACTATTCTGATGAAGGTTGTTGTAAAAATTTCAGTTCAAGAATACTACAAATTAGATGATAAACAAGAAATAGAAAAATTTATCAATAGAGACGTGAAGTCACTGTCCTTAAGAATATATTTTTGCCCCTCTGAGTACAAAACTCAGTGCGACAGGTTATGACATCCTATCCTCTAGTATTCAACTATTGCTTCTCCGTAAGCGTACACTCACAAATTTAGAGGTGTCTCGAACAACTCTTGATCCTTTCCAAATGAATACCAAGATCTCAAGTAATAGTATATTTGAAAGTATATCAAAATTTAGTTCTACTAATTTGACAAACTACTCAAGGAAATCTAATGCGAATGAAAACCGACTACACAAGAAAACCCACCGGATAGTAGGCTTTCTTCTATTTTTTCTCACTTTACTTTTTGTATTTTTCCCTATTTGCTTTCTGTATTTTTCCTTTCCGTACAGTAATTTTACTTAAGTCTGAAGAGTAGACTTTATATAGTGTTTGAATAGTTACAAAACAAGGGATGCATTGGTTGGCATCTAACGGTCAATTGCAAATCTCAACGGTTAATAACCAATGATCAATACCTTTAAAAATTCATTTCTCATTTAATATAATTAATTAATTCAATATAAGTAATAAAACAAATAGTCATAACCTGTCCAATAAGTCTAAAAAATAATTTTTAAATATATATATATTTTGACTTATATTTCTATACACATATATATGTTAGAAACAAATAAATATGTATTATATTTTGAAATATATATTAAATACAACAATCCCCCATATATTTCAAAATATAACGTATATATAAAACAACAACAACTTTGATTTGGAAACACGAGCATCTAATGCATTGTGGTGGTGTCTTTTGGACTATGAACCATCACTTAGGGAATATAAGGCAAAACTTACAGAAATCTAGTGAAATATAAAATTTCTATGAACTAGATTTCTTTAGTGTAAACTGACTACACTCATCACCCACATTAGACCCTCTAATCTGAGTTTGTTCATCGCGGGTTGGTGCGAATAGGTCATGCACCTTACCTGGAAATTCATAGATGCTCTAGAAAAACCTGCCCAAGCATTCATAGGAAGCGGTCCCACTCCCACATCTATATAGGTGAATCCATCAAGTTTATGCTACAACTCGATACATTACCTAATCTAGGCTATGGATCCATTAAGAGATAAACTCAACCTTATACATTGCAGTATATTCACTATCTACATCATAAAGATGGGTTTTACATATTAATTAAATTATGATAGTGTCACAAATTATCCAATGACTTGTTATTACCCATATGAACTTATTTCTTGGGATCTCCATTCCTGTAAGTTGGGTTACCATCACTTGTGATTTATGTATAGGCATAAGTCTCATCCCCCTTGATGTCTCACTCACTAGTTTTCTTCCTTGTGGTTTTGTCAAAGGATCAGCCAAATTCATCTTTGACCTCACAAAGTCTAGGGATATTATCCCATCATTAAGCAGCTGCCTCACAATATTATGCTTTGAGCGTATATGCTTGTTTTTACCATTATAGATTTTATTCTTTGCCCTTGCTATTGCAGCTTGGCAATCACAATGCATAGACACAGATGAAATTGACATCATCCATAAAGGGATATCCGCTAAGACGTTTCTTAACCACTCAACTTTAGTGCCAGCCTTCTCTAAGGTAATAACCTCGGACTCCATAGTAGGCCGAGTTGCACACGTCTGCTTGGAAGATTTCCAAGACACTGCACTCACACCAAGGGTGAATACATAACCACTTGTGGATCTCGTCTCATATGAATCAGAAATCCAGTTAGCATCGCTATACCCTTCTAATACGGTAGGAAATCCAGTATATGATAAACCATAATTAACAGTTCCTTTCAAGTATTTCAATAATCTAGATATAGTATTTCAATGTTCTTTATTGGGGTTATGTGTATATCTACTTAACCTACCAATAGCATATGCAATATCAGGACGTACACAATTCATAAGATACATTAAACTTTCAATTATTTGTGCATAATTATTTTGACACATAGGATCACCTTTATTTTTCTTTAGTTTAACGCTAGCATCATAAGGTGTAGAAATAGGCTTATGATCAAAATGATTAAACTTTCTAAGTATCTTATCCACATGATGTTCTTGAGATAACATCAAACTATTTGGAGTTCTCAAAATTTTAATTCCTAAAATTACATCTGCCTCCCCTATATCTTTCATGTCAAACTTAGACATTAAGAACTTTTTAGTATTGATAACAACCTCTAGACTTGTACCCATTATAAGCATATCATCAACATATAAGCAAATTATAACACCAGAATTATCACAAAACTTACAATATACACATCTGTCAACGTCATTAATTTTGAAACCATTTGACACTACCACATTATCACATTATCAAATTTCTCATGTCATTGTTTCGGTGCTTGTTTTAAACCATATAATGATTTAATCAATTTACATACCATATGCTTTTTACTTCGTACAATAGATCCTTCGGGTTGTTTCATGTATATTTCTTCCTCCAAGTCTCCATTCAAGAATGCCGTTTTCACATCCATTTGATGAATTACTAATTTATATATAGAAGCTATAGCAATCAAAACCCTAATAGATGCTATTCTTGTAACTAGTGAATAAGTATCAAAATAATCAACATCTTTCTTTTGTTTATAACCTTTGGCTACTAGTCGGGCTTTGTATTTATCAACTGTGCTATGAATTTTCAATTTTCTTTTAAAAATCCATTTGCACCCAATAGGATTTGCACTAGGAGGTAACTCTACTAATCCCAAGTATGATTAGACATAATGGAATCTAACTCATCTTTAATTTCTTCTTTCCAAAAAGGAGCATCTTTGGACTTAATAGCTTCCTCATATGTTTGTGGGTCATTATCAATTAGAAATGTGAAAAATCCATCTCCTAAGTTAGTCTCCTTTCTTACTCTTGTCCTCTTTCTTGGTTCAAGTACTTCTTCCCTAGATGTATCATATTTGGGTTCATTACTAACACCAATTATTTTACTCTCATTTGATATCTTATTTTTCATAGGAAAAATATTCTCAAAGAATATAGTATTTTTTGCCTCAATGATCATAGGAAAAATATTCTCAAAGAATATAGTATTTTTTGCCTCAATGATTGTGTTATGTTCTAAAATGTTATGCTCGCTTCTTATCACTAGAAACCTATAAGAAGTACTATTAATTGAATAACCTATAAAAACACAATCTGAAGTTTTAGAACCTAATTTTCTCTTCTTTGGTTCCAGTAACAAAACTTTTGCTAAACAACCCCACACTTTTAAGTATTTTAAGGATGGTGGATTCCCTACCCAAAGTTCATAAGGAGTTTTTTCTATTTTCTTATGTGGAATTCTATTTTGAATATGACATGCCGTAGAATAGCTTTTCCCCATAAATTATTCGGCAGTCCCAAACTTATTAACATAGAATTCATCATTTCTTTTAAAGTTATATTTTTCCTTTCGGGTACACTATTAGATTCGGGTGAGTAGGGAGGAGTAACTTCATGTATAATACCATGTTGCTCACAATAGTCATAAAAGAATTATATTCATATTCTCCTCCCCTATCAGTCCTCAACCTTTTTATTTGTCTATTCAATTGATTTTCAACTTCTAGTTTATACTTGATAAATATTTCACTTGCTTCATCCTTATTTCTCTACAAGTATAATTTAGTATACCTTGAATAATCATCAATAAAAGTAACATAATATTTTTTTCACCTCTTGTCATGGTATTCTTAAGGTAAATCACTATGTATAAAGCTTATATAAAGCCTTTCACTTAAGTCTAAAGAGTAGGCTTTATATAGTGTGACGCCCCTAAAATTGGGGGTCCCGTTGACCTCCTGTCAACCCGCGAAAACACTCGTGATTGTTGCATAACCCGACATCATGTTTATTACATCCCTGTAACTGAGATTACAACTCACACGAGGATCCGTGTTTACTTTAATCATTTAATCCCATCGAGATTCAATGTACCCCAATGTATCTCATTTAAGGTCTATTTATACCATTGGAGCCAAATGACTTATAACCCAAGAGCATGGTAATGCATTCTTAAAATTTTAGATTTTTGAAAAACCTTCTGGAAGGTTTTACTCACTGTAAAAGTTCTTCCGAAAGGTTTTATAGACCTTCAAAGGTTTTGTCTACTGGATAACAATTTACATTAACCTACCGGAAGATTTTTTTCAACCTTCTAGAAGGTTTTGCCTGCTGGACCAAAAGTTTGCATTAACCTTCAAGAAGGTTTTCCCCAGAATTTTGTGCCTCTTCAGTTTTTCATTTCCAATCCAACCAAAACCTTTCCAAACATGTATAATAACATTTTCTACATTATACACGATCTATACAAGTTCTATTACAAGCATTTGCATAATTTTTACATGTTAAAACTTTGTTCCAACAAAGATTACACAAAATATGCCACCAAAGCCACAAGTCGGCTTTTCTTCATGGTTGAGGCCCCGAATGCCAGTTCTCTCCCGGTACGAATCCCGTACCTGAAATATTTTCCGTATTGGGTGAGTCAATGCCCAGTAGAAAATTTTCTACAGAGGCTACTCCCCAACCTAAGTGCATATGAAATGTTCGCAAACAACATTCACCATTCACACAATCATTCCAAATAAGAATATA